ATTGAGCGAAGCAGTGTGAGTGAAAGCAATCCTATAATAATAATATGGGAAAATACAGCAAGAAAATAGGTAATTGAAAAAAAAAAAAAAAAAGAGAACGACAAGCAGGTATCCCAATAACAATAATAGCTTCAATTTGGGGGGTGAACCAAGGAAGTAGGAAGAGACCAAGTAGAGCGGGTATTTCAATAACCGGAATGCCCCCCATTAGCTAGCCGAACCTAGAAAGCCAGTTGTAAGTATAGATTTGCCTATGCAAGTGGGAATTTTAACACGTACCTCATAGAGGCGGGTAGGAACTGAGTCTACTAGAGACTCAAATTCTTCGGGTGAAATAGAGTCCCACTCTTCCATGATCGCATGGCGAAGAGACTCGTTTGTGGTTGGAAAAGGATTGCGTTTGCGGATGTGGTCCTTCATTGTTCGCCAAATATTTTCTATAGGGCTACAGTCCGGTGAACACGGGGGCCAATCAATAAAATACCCCCATATCCCAAGCTCATGGAAATGGTTTTGCGTATGGGTAGCCTGATGAGGACTAGCGTTATCCTGCTGTAGGTAGACATAGTCTAACTGAAGCTGAGATTGCTCCTGCCAGAACCGGTAGAACTCAGGCACTATATGACTAGTAAAAGAAGCTGCCTTAATTGTTTTTCCCCACTCCTTATCCCAAAAGATTAGGGGTCCTTTCTCACGTCCCTTAAAGCAAGCCCAAACTATAATGGTTTCTAGCTTCTTAAACTTGGGAACTAGGCAATCCTCCAAGTCTTCCTCCCCGGGCTGCCTAGTAACCCAAACCCGATTATTGGAGGATAAACCACCAATGTTAAAGGCAGCTTCATCACTCCAAATTACCTAAATATTTCATAGTTTCTTAGTATTAACGTCATAGAGAGAAGAAAAGAAAAGAGAAAAAGAGAGTAAAAAGGATTCAGACCTTGTGCCAGTCAGCCCGGGTCCAGTCAGCATAATGCTGAGCCCAGTCCAGTCGCTTTTCTTTTGCTTTAACTGATAGAAATGGGCGAGAACGAGCGATTCGCCTATGATAGCCTTCAGTGGCAAATGCTGTACGTAGAGTTCTTACATCGGCCGTGATACCAGCTAACTCTGCTACTTCCGTGAATGGAAGACGGCGATTCTTCTGAGAAGCAGTAGCAAAGTCTACTAGCTTCTTCCTAAGAACTCTAGTGATCATCTTGGGGCGTCCTACTTTAATTTTTCTTGGAGTTGCCGGTGCTCTGCATATAGAAAATACAGTACTCACGGCAACCCCTACTTCATGAGCGATACGACGAAAGGTCCACTCTGCATGGTTGCGCAAGGCTCGGATTTTGGAGCGCAGTGAAGCTGTAATCATCGTAGGAGAAGGAGTGATTATGGGAGTAGGAGAAAGAGTTCTAGACTCGGAGCTGGTAGGACTTAAAGAACTGTCCTGACAAGCAGGAAAAGAGGTACTAGTTTCTTCCATCTTGGCTTTGTGTTTTTTTTTCTTCTAATTTCAAAGAGTCCTCTATTATTTATGCATACTGTTTGGCGGAGCGCCTTGATAATTTTCTAGAAAAGATTAAGCTTTTCCACTAGCAATACTGTTGGTGTTTCTAAGGTCATGATACCACAATGTGTTGCTGTTCGATGTTTTTGCTCTGCTGACCACCCCTCTCAGATTTACTTGGCAACCTCTGTACGAAAACATCATGCCTGTCGCTTGTACGAGCACTGTACCGGTACGAGTACGTCCGAATAGCAAAAGTTACCGTATTCGGCAATTCCCCCCCCCCCCCCCCTTCCTCCCCTCCCACAAGATTAGATTTTCTGTATCATAGG